TATGCGTTTTCCGGCATTCTTCATATGACATGTCTGCGAAAGACAACGAAGTGCAATTTAAATTTGAGGTCCGATAGCATTATTTCGGTCTCGTTTTTAAAAGAATCTGGCTCATCCTTAAATCTGAACCCTTTCAATCATATTGACATTCTATACTGAAAAGAAATCTATTATGTGGCTGTCCTCACGTAAAGATCCTTACATTTAGCCTTAAGTTTATTTTTAATTAGGATGAACTGAAACAAGGGTTAGAGTTGATGGGAGAACATATAACTGACGAAATGCTGGACAGTATGATCGAAGAGGCAGACGCTGATCACGACGGCAGAATTAATTATGAAGGTAAATGTCGATGTGTAACAGAACCTCAAATACTATTAAATCGTTATCTAAATACATGTAGTCTAGGGTCGAGTAGCAGAATATTAAATGCTTTGTTTTTCATCAAGTTTATTTTTTAGGTCGGGAAAATGTGATAACCTCGGCACTCAAATACCGTTGTCGGTTTGAAATAAAGAGATAAATTCCGATTGGGTCAAACTGACAAAATATTATTTACTTGTTTTATTTTTTGAATATAAATATACATTACACTTGCTAATTACTTTTACTATTTGAGGGTAAAGCAGGTGGACTTCAGGAGAGGTACACGAGTTATCTGAGCCTTTTCCCTGACAGCCCGTCAGCTTCTCTTATTCCTTTCATCGTTATAATTTATCAAGCCAGATCAGGTTTTGGTTTTTAAAGTTTTAGTATTTCATTTGCTACAGCCAGGAGATTGAGATATTCCATACCAAACAGATCTACACGTTTTAAAACCTTTGGACTTCATCTTTGTCATCTTCCTTTCAGAATTTGTCCACGTCATGAATTCATCATAGTCTACAAGTGTTGTGCAGTGACTATCATATGGCTGGGGAACACTCGAATGCCCCTTTTTCACTTCGTGGACCTATGCCACTTGTCACTAATGTCGTAACATTACCAGAAGACTCGTTTTAAGTATCTGGATTTTCAAAATTGCCCCAAGAAGTGAAATACTCTACATTTTACTTATTAGGCATTAAGAAGTCTTCCAGTTCGTTATTACATCAAGGTGTCAGCACGCTGTGCAACTGATATCTAAATACGCAGGCAGTAGGGGAAGACTGCCATCAACGACAATTCAGAATGCATTTACTACTTCTATAAATTACAATTGTCTGGTCTACGATACATACATTTCAATGCATTGATCAGAATTTGAATAAAGGTTGAAAACAAGTCGGGCAAATTTTTTCTTTCTTTTTTTATTTGTACATTCATTCTTTCATAATTAGCAAACAGCGTTTTTGCAGTTATTTTTCCTCCTTCTTGTTAAGATGGTACCAGGAGATTGAAATATATCATAAATAAACCACTGAAAGAGTTAAGTGACAACACGTGGTTCTCTGCCTTCATCAATTCTGGTCTTCCACACGGACAAAGGTCCTTTCTCTGGTTTGTACTGGACGTTGACGCCATCGGGGTCCAAGCGTCCCTGATTTCTCATGTCCTCAAACTTTTCCTTCGGCCACTTTGTGAAACCCCACTTGTGAGACACAATCACCTTAAATGATTTGAAAAAAATATTGCATTTGAAATACAACAATAATGAATAAGCAATGTGTTTTGAAACACACAAAGGTTTTCATTTTGTTTTCTTCTGTATCAACATACTATGGGCCTGCCTCACCAGTAACATACCTTATTAAGATTTTCAGTCAACTCTCTGAGCGGTCCTTTAATAAATAACAGATTATTTCATCGACTTGATGGAAATCTGCATCAAGATTTTAAAGCATTCCCATTCAAGCACTTTTAAGTCCACAGTTTTGTTAAACAGTGGTCTATCCACATGCCTAAACCAATGGTTATCAAATTATTGCTATATCATACTGTCAAACTGACTTTACTTACATATGCCAAAATGATCACTCATGCACACACATCAATTAGCATCCCTTACCTTCTGACGTCCAGGGAACTTCATCTTAGCTCTCCTCAGAGCCTCAATGACGTTGGCCTTTGCACCTTCTCTGGCACGTACAGACATGATGGGCTGACCAATGTGTACACGAGCTACTGTGCCAGTAGCCTTGCCAAAGGCACCACGCATTCCAGTCTGGAGCCTGAGGAAGAAAATAAGGAAATATCAGGAGATTCGGACACATCGTTTCTTTACACTGACAAGGCATATACACTCTTGGTCACCATGTTCGTCTGGTAGAGGTACTGACACATTTGAGTTGATATTTTATAGTCATTCTTTGTCTGAAAAATATGCAACTGGGAAATTTTGGGGAGGTAAATGTAATTGGCAAAAACTATTTCTTTTCTCTGGCATAAAGCAGATAGGACATTTTCTACATAGCTTTAGGATATCAAATAAACCTATTTTGTAAATGATGTAAAAAGAAAGATGCTTTTTAAAACGGGTATAAGCAACAGTAAGATAACAAAATTGATCCGTAAATATCTTCATTAGGAAACTCACCTATCAGCTCCAGCACACGACAACATTTTGTTGATGCGCAACACGTGGAAGGGATGCAGTCTCATTCGTATGTGGAAAGTATCTTTGCCTTCAAATTTCACCAAGTACTTGTTGGCACAGATACGACCAGCTTCTAGGGCCTCAGAAGACAACTGCTCATATTCATCAGATACCAGATGGACACACAGTGGAAACTCATTCACGTTGGCCTTCTTGCGCCCAAGGTCAAAAATACGGATCTTCGGATCTGTAAATCAAATCAGTATTTTAGAGGAAATCCAAGTTTTTAATTAATTGTAATGGACTTCCCCATGACAACATTTGTTCAACTTTGATCTTACCATATACCGTAATACACAAGCTTGAACTAAAGACAAAGTTTCATGCTGTAATAATTGGAAATATTTATCGTGTTACAATTTGTAATGTTATATCATAATCATGCAACACATTATGATTTAATTAACTAATAGAGACACATGGGAGATGAAAGGGTTTTGTGCCATGTCATGATGACTTGCTTATCTTACCTGGTACACCACGACAAAATCGTGACTTGGGGTAAGGTTTATTTTTGCAGTAACGGTAGCTGAAAACGGAAAGGTATACTTACAACTCAGTGGAAGTGTAATAAACACAAACAAATTTTCTTACAGAAACTGTTATTAATCCAATTTCAAAACAAATTCTTTAATTAAATTCACGATCAACAACTTTTAGATACACATATTTACAAACCCCCTCCATCAGTCTTGTATGTGGCTAATGTTTTCGTACATTATAAAGGAAAAGTTACTTACGGCATCAACACAAGTAGACAATCTCATAATATTGACATCAGTTAAATCATTAAAAGATACAAAAATTTAATTATGTAGGACACCTGCCATACTTAGCTAACGAGCTCATGCTTTACTTACCAACGAGCTGGACGTCGCCCCATTTTGACCTGTAATTGTCAAGAAATAGGAAGTGTTAGAGTCGAAAGAGCAATGAGCCCACAAACTTCAAATATCAAAAGTTCGATTTATATTACAACATTAGCAGAATCTTCTAGAATAAAGCCGATGAACTCTGATTAATATAGGAACTATGTTATTTCACAACAAATATGGCAGCTACCTTGTAAAAGAGAAAGATACCCGGCTGAACAACCTTTACCTTGACCCAGATAAGTCATTGGATCGTATGATCACCACAAGATTGTGAACCAGAAACTTCACCGATAGGTCAGCTTAAGTAATAGAGTCAAGCGTACAAAGAGAGTGGGTCAGGGATTTTTTCAGTTAGTTTTTTTATCCTAATTCTAGAGTAGACGTCATTTTAAACGTAAGTTTGCTATGAACTTAATCTCGGCCTCGGGGGAAGGAAAAAGACGAAATGAACAGTAAGTGATACTTCTAAGTAAATGTTGTTAATGTTGTGGTATTAATATGTTGATATTCATATAGACTTTGATTTGTTTACGTTTCTGTGTTTTCTGTTGAATTATTAAAGATTATAAGAGTAATTGCCATATAAAATGCACACTCAAACATTCACAGAATTATCAGCATTCCAAGGTTCCTTATTATGTGAATTTACTTAAATTGAATTGCATTCCACATGCATCACCCTACACATCGTGAGTTAAGGAGACAGTTCTGACTACTCTGATCTCTGTACATGCTTGAGGACCCAGTTTTTATGTGCAGTATGTTACGTATGTTCCAAATAACCTGTAATTTTCATATATGAAAGTGACCAGGTGTTCATTTTTTTTTTTTTTTTGCGAAAATTTACAATTAATAATAATAAAAAAAAAAATTAGTCTGTGTGCTAAATCAAAGAAATGAGGAACATTTAAGACAACAAAAGCCCCATACAGGGTCTCCATAATTAATGCCATTTGCTTTAAATCCCAGTTCCAAAAGATCTTAAACTTTAATAAAGTATGCGATTTGAATAAAATCACCCAACTGTTGAAACCATGCAATCTTGTGAAATGCAACGAGGAAAACAGTATCAGTCTAACAGTGTTATAGATGTATGCTTTTAGAACTGACAGTCTGTCTTAATTGAAAAGATACACCCAATAAAACTCATTGGAATGAGATATTTGGATAATATTTATTTATTTAATATTTTTAAATTATTTTTTAATTAAAATATTTCAGGTGCTGCTCAGTATTTAAATGAAAGACAGAGTATCCT